TCTAGATGTGAGAGGTTTACCTGTAAAGACAGTCTAGGTGTGAGAGGTTTACCTGTAAAGACAGTCTAGGTGTGAGAGGTTTACCTGTAAAGACAGTCTAGGTGTGAGAGGTTTACCTGTACTGACATTGGTAGGTTGAGGGTTGTACTCTGGCAGTGCTATGAATACATCATATCTGGCATCTGTCTCTCTGCTGTTTTCAGCTCCTTCTGCATTTTATTGCTTTAAGAAAAGCCCTGGGGTACGTGCGAGTGCGCTGAGATGAAAATACAGTGGGAGCAGATCGATGGTGGCGGGGCGGCTGGCCGGCCAGCCATGCGCATTTTTAACACTTTAAGAGGACGCCAGGAGCCCGCGTGGCTCGTTTGTTGAGACGAGTTTTATTAAATTTATTTGCTGCATCGCAGAATAAAATACGGGGCTTCTGAAGCGGTTAAAAAGTATTTATTCACAACAGACACCGGAGTCTAAAAGGAGCATCTGAGGCCGTGGGGGGGAGCGGGGATGCTCACTGAGGCGCGTGTCTGTCAGCGATCGGATCTGAGTTCTTTCTTTGGGGGCGGGGGGCGGGGGTGACAGTTTAAATATGGACGAGGGCACATCTAAACATAACTCTGCACCTCTCAGAGCAGGCCAGGCCGGCCTGCCAGGGACGCTAATTTATGAAGCACGACTCGGGATGGGATCCAAACCCGACCCATCTGTCGAGGAACGGAACCGGCGGCCTGGAGCCGGTGGCGCGCTGCTAATGGGAGAAGCCGCTCCCGCAGAACTCCCCCGCTTCCGTGTTTTCGGTTTGCCGCAGACGGCACTTTATCCAAGCCAGACAGGCCGGTGCTGAAGAAGGGCAGATCATGTGATCATGCCATTCTGTAGGTGAATAGTCCAGCTGTAGATTTTGGGGGTTGGGGGAGGTTGGGAGGGGAGAAGCATAATCCTTAAATCACACGCATGTAACAGCAAGTGCATGAAGAGATGCTCCCTCCACTATGTGCACGGAACATACATGACCCCCCCCCCATATGTTAACATGGCTGAGATGCTACTGAAGGAGCTGATTATCTGTATTATATGTGTTAAATTAAGCTCTGCAGGGTGGCAGATCTCAGCAGCTCTGCTTTAGGTCATACTCTGGGTGCTTGGCGCTACCCCACCCCCACCCCCCCCCGGTGTATCCACCCGCAGTGGGGGCCCAGTCTCTGCTAGCCTGCCAGCTATTCAGCGTTTCAGCATGGTAGAGTGAGAAGGTGCCACACAGGCAGAGAAGCAGAGACCCTTCACCTCTGGAGGGAAAAACAGCAATGAAAGGAGAATACCAGTTAAAGGTTGGGACACGCCAAGCCGCCTTCAAAGGGGAGTGATAGTGTCGCATCACATGACCTGGTCACCTGACCTAAACACAGGAGAAATGGTTTTAGAGGAGTTTGACCAGAGAATGAAGGAAAAGTGGCCAAGTACTAATAAACCTTTCTATGGGTAGGTGTGTCCAAACTTTTGACCAATACTGTAGACAATCTGATTTGGGCTCTCGGTCGGTCGTGTCCCACGCAGTCCCGGGAGCTCTTACAAATCATTCCGAAATTCCCACTCCCTCCCGTCAAACTTTCAGGCAAAATGGCACAGTGCCCCAGATGCTGCCGTCTTCCTGACAGACCCCCCCCCCAGAAGAAAGGCGGAGATCCCCAAAGCGGCTTACACCTTTATCCCTTGGGCCTGCGAGACTGGCACCCCGGGGCATTTATTTAATTTAACAAGTCCTCTTCAGATGTGTTAATCTTTAATGTGCATTTTTAGTGGTGCAGAGCCTCCCGTTTTCTTCACGTTTTCTTAAGTGCGATGGACTAGCTGCAGTTTGATTTGCTGGATCTGAGCTACTGAATCACCAAGAGCAGCTGTCACGCAGTGTCAGGGCAGCTCGTGGCTCCGTAATGACTGCCCTCTTCAGGTGTTGCTTAGCATATAGAAGCTCTATTTTAACATTTTGAACAGCCGCTTGTTAGAGGCCCTTTGGTGTGGAGAGAATCCTCCGTCAGGTCCATGAGCAGCAGGATGAGATCCCGCTGTGAGGCACACGGTCTGCAGGAGGACAGGCTCAGTCTGACTGGGTTATCAGGTCTTCACATGATTTCCTTTTCCATTTGGGGAGGAAGGAGATTGTGCTGTTTGGAAAGACATTGGAAAGCTTCCGGTATTCCTTTGAAGGTGTGAGGAAGCTGTATCAGTCAGGGAGGGGGGAGGAAGGTGTGAGGAAGCTGTATCAGTCAGGGAGGGGGG